TCCTTGGAGAAGGACATCATGCTTGGGAGGGTGGAGGGACAGCGCAGGAGGGATAGGCCCTCTATGAGGTGGATTGATTCAATGACTGGAATAATTGGGATGGGAGTGTCAGAGACAGTGTGATTGGCACAGGACAGAGCAGATTTTAGGGCTGTTGTATATAGGGTCGCTATGAGTCACAAGCGACTCGACGGCACATAACAACAACAACAAGTTTCTTGCACCAATACGTCTAACAGCTGTTCTTTGCGATATATTTGTACCTAGTATTTTTTATTCATTTTAATGAAAATTTACAGACTTAGGGTTTCCAGTCATTCACTGTTGCACTTTTCTCACTGCCCACTCCCTCCCCCAATTCACTCTTCTCTTGAAAAGTAAAACTCTTTCATTGTTATGCAATCCCTCCCCCCATGTCTATTCCACTGTGTACCTAGTATTTTAATTCTATTTCTCAACTCTTCAGAAACATAGCTGGATGTGTCTTCTTAGATTTGGATCTCAAAAGCAGGCTGTACTTAAACTCCATTTATTCCTCTCTTTTGTTTCTTTGACCATCTTTCTCAATCATTTGTTGGCAAACACAATCTTAATGGAATAACAATGTTGTGTGTCAAAGTGCTTGTGATCCTCAGTATAATGTAAACTGTCTTATGTAGGGATTCTGTGAGTGGTTAGTAGAGGTTCCAGAGAAAATGGGAGGTCTTTTTAAAAAGCTTAAATTAATTCTCCATGCAACATCAGCCCTGGCAGTGATGAATAGTGATCAAGGAGCTCTTAACAATGTTGTGAGAGGCCATTCATCTATATGGCAGTACTGTGTAGGAGTGACTGTTACTGTGTTGTCAAATCAAGTACAACTCATAGCGACGCTATGAACAAAAGATCTGAACCCTGTTCTATCCTGTGCCATCTTCACACTTTCTGGCACACAAGAGTCCCATTGCAGCTGTCAAGATACCAATACACCTGATGAGGGTCTTCCTATCCTTTGCTGACCCTCCACCCTTCCCAGCATCATGTCCCTCTCCAAGGAATAGCCCCTCCTAGCAATACACCCAAAGTATGTGAGATGAAGCCTCATCATTCTTGCCTCCATAGAGAACTCCAAATGCACCCTCCCCAAGACATATCTGTTCCTTCTCTTGGTCGTCCCCAGTGCTCTTCTTCAACACCACAGCTCAAAGTCATCAATTCTTCTGTCATCCTTTCCAGCTCTCAGATGCACACCAAGTGTTCAAAAAGACTATGACCTGAATCAGATGCATCTTAGTCCTCAAAATAACATTATTACTCCTCAATAATTTGGAGAGGTCTCTAACTGCTGATTTTCCTAGTTCAGTATATGTGACTATGTTCATTTAATTGGGTCCATTCTGTTTTTGTTGCTGGAGGGAGGAGGCTGTTGACAACTGGTGAGTGCTGAATTGCACTGAGAGAGTGGTAGCTTGATGATATCAGCTTCTCCTTTCCAAATCAACTCTCCTAACTCTTCCCTCCATAGAATCCTGTTGCTGCAATATTTAAAGAATTTGGTTGCTAACCAACAAGTCAGGGAACTCTGGTGGCCAAATCGGAAAAGATAGGCAATCTCCTCATATGTGATTTATATTCTCTGAAAATCCACTGGAGAGTCATGCATGAGTTGGTTCTAACTCGACTGCACTTACTGACCATCAAATGGTCAGTAGTTAAGACTTTTCAGTTATTCCACAGAAGAAAGATGAGATAATCAGCTTCCATAAAGATTTACAACCTAAGAAAGCCTGTGGAGAGTTCTTTCCTCCGCCCCATAGGGTTGCTTCAAGTCTAAACTGAGTTAAGTGGCAGTTGGTTAGCTTCCTCTTTCCATTACCAACTTAAAGCAAGTAAGATCTTCTGATGTAGAAAATCAGAATACATTTTCATTCCAAAGGAAGCTCTATGCTCCATGACTTTAAATCCTCCTTGCTGCTTTTCTAAAGTTGCAAACTGGGAGCTTATGGGTTAAAAGTTAATTACGTTATCTTACGCTTCATATGTATGTGATTCCTTTGTGCAACTTGCTTGGTTTAACTTTACCATACTGTCTTACAAACATGACTGATTGTGGTGTTGTTTGGAAATGAAATGGGAGATACGAGGGGATTCTAGGCCTAGGTAGCTCTGCTACAGTAATGAAGAATCAAATTATAAATGCAGTTCTGCTCCAGAAAAATTGAAAAGACATTTAACTGCAAGTTATGTTAAGAAGTAGATTATTTTATATGGACTGTAGAACCTTAAAACAGTATATGGTTTATTTAAAAAGTCACTTTGAGTATCATGATCCTGAAACTTGAAATCAAACTCATTGCCATTGAATCAGAACCAACTCATAGCTGGTCCTCTGGCAGGTTTTCATGGAAGGAGATGGCTCCTCTTTCTCCCAAGGAATGACGGGTGGATTTGAACCACCAGAAATGTGTGACCTCTAGAGTAGCAGCTAAATTCCCTACTGACTAAGCCAGCAGAGCTTTTTAGCATGGTCCAGGGAGCAAGTTATTTGCTACCTGAACATGTTGATTGGGATGGGGTGGGTGGGAAGAATAGCCATACAACTTTTAAGAATCTCGCAGTTTCCTGCATGTAAAATGAGAGTAAGATATTAGCACAAGGTATGTATGAGAAATTGCAGTATTTGTAGAATTCATGACAAGAGACATGGCACTGAAAAGATTTCAACAACAAAGGTGATGAGGCAGCACTCATTAGATTTTTAAGCTATGGGGAACTGAACAAAATATTTATACCAAACAAAAGGCAAGATCAGGTCACTCTGGTGTTTAAACATTGTTTTAAATGCTGTGTGGACAAAACCAACAGAAACCTTCCTAAATGTTGTGACTTAGCGTATCATTTATTCAGGATAGATTCATGTTGTCTACCTAAATACTGTGTCTTAGCAGATCACTTGAATTGGTCTTGGTTTCAAAAGGTTGACCATTTTTATAGCATCATCCAGGACTTCAATCTCCATAACTTTCTTGCACCAATACAACTCTGGAAAGAAAGCAGCGAGTTATGAATACATTAGAAGTTTCTTTCTCACAAGAGATCCGCGTGACCTGTCAGGGAGCCAACAGCTGATGGGCACTAGAAATAGAGATGCCAGCGCAGTTCCTCTGAGATGCAGAGAGGCCCAGTGTAAGAAGCTGCACTGAAATCCTAAAGGTTCAAATCCACCAGCTGCATTCTTGGGAGGTAGGGCAATCTCTTCCCGTGAGCTTTAGTGCTTCTGGAAACTAGCTGGAAGGTCAGCTCGGGTTTCGACTCCACGGCAAACAACACAACATAAGCGTAAGGCAATATACAGTAAGGGACACGGCTGTAAAAAAAAAAAAAAATTGACCAACGCGGTAGGGGGAGAAAACAAGGTTCAAAAAATACAGAACAGCCAAACCACAGGCCAAGTTCCTAAAAGCCAGGTCCACTTATGGGTGGAGAGGGATGCGAGCTCCTCAGAGCCTTCGTGGGACGTTGTCAGAGCAGAGTTGGCAAGGAACTGCGGTTGCTGATTAAGTTACAGCTGTTGGAGTTCTAGATCGCGATCAGTAGAACTGCTCGCTGGAGAGGTTGTGCTTTAATAAAAAAAGTTGTTTAGAAAAAAAATTGGACCACTAACGCCAGGCATCTCCAAGGGCAACAAAGCCGTCCCACTTCCTAACGTCATCAGGAAAGGCACGCTGTGCTTACGTCATTTCCTTTGCTTGACGGCAGGCATTATCACGTCACTGTCGTAAATGTGTTTGGGGTTTTATAGCATTACTGCTTTTCCAGTGATGAAGCTTATTTTAGAAACGTATTGTCGTTCCCTAGTATCCTGGTGACTGTGCCTTTTAAATTGCTGCGCGGTTATTTCAGATTCCGGTAAAGGATTTCCCTCCATAACGCCCCGCGCGGGGTACGGTGGCCGAGCAGGCTCTCAGGCGGCGGAAGTACTTCGCTAGTGGGTGTGCTTCTACGGTCCAGGCAGAGGTGCACGTGGCTCTGGTAAGTAGGTCTTGAAAGGCTTAGGATTTGAGCGTTCTGGATGCAGAACCCTGTTCCAGGAGGGAGGGAAGAAGGAGGGAATGTGGCGTCAAAACGGTGCTGTCTGCAACGGGAAGAAATACTAACCCTGGGAGACGAGGCTGGTGAGTGATTCTCCACCCAGAGGGCCGTGGAAAGGTGCGTCTCCTTACTTCGCTGGTTCACACATTATTTCCTGTTAGATTTTCTGATGAAGGATCGGAGTCGGGCATTGCAAAAAGAAGCCACAGTGACCTGAGGGAACATACTATTTTTCTTTTCAGGTGGGAGAGAGCATGTCTTTCCGAGGCGGAGGTCGTGGAGGCTTTAATCGGGGTGGCGGCGGCGGCAGCTTCAGTCGTGGCGGCAGCAATAACCATTTCCGAGGTGGAGGCGGCGGCGGCAATTTCCGAGGCGGCGGTGGCGGTGGCGGTGGCGGCGGCAGAGGTGGATTTGGACGCGGGGGTGGCCGTGGAGGCTTTAACAAATTTCAAGACCAAGGACCCCCAGAACGTGTGGTTTGTATGTCCGCTTCAAACGAGGCTTCCTGGGGATTGAAGCTTGGGTTGTTACCTGGCAAGTTTGGCTTGGCAGTCAGGTGCTGAAAGGTAGAACAAGCATCTGTTATTGAATGGAAGATTGTTGCTTGACTGGGGAGGCAGATCTCAGTGTATTTTGATGTTAACAGACCTACAGTCATATTGTGACATGTAGGTAGAACAAGAAAGTGAAGTGGAACTTGATCTCAAACAGAGAGGAAGACTAATAGATGACCTTGAGACTTTTTTACAGATAAGGAAATGGATTCAGTTGTGTTTGATAGAGTCCTAAATAAGTGAACAGTAAGAGATAGGATGTGAGATCCAAAATCCATGCTTTCGTTTTCTAATAAAGGAGCAATAATTAAAAAGTTAGGCTGAGGAGGGGACTACAGGAAAGGGAATGAATCAAATGAATGATCTAATTAGAGTAGATTTAATTTTTTTCTACATCATTATTTGAAGGAGACAGATGAATTTAGCATTAGAATTGCTGCATCAAGTGATACTTTCTAAGGAAGCTCCAGTCTGCTTTCTGTAGTGGTTGCATCATTTATATTTCTATCAGCAGTGTATGAGAGTTCCAGCCATACCCTCAACTGCCTTTGTTTTGTTCAACTCAGGTTTTGCTGACAGAGATGATAACTTGTTATTTTAATTTACATCTCCCAGACTAACGACATTAAGCATTTCTCCATGTGTTTGTTGCCCACCTGAATGTTGACCACATCTTATGATCTATTCCTGTCCCTCCTCTTTCCTTTTTGTAACTGATTTTGTCTTGTTGAGGTTTTTATAATTTTTTAATATGAGACCATTGTCAGATGTGTCATTGTAAAAAATTTTTTTCCAGCCTATCCAGTCTTTATACTCTTGGAGAAGTCTTGATACATGTAAATAATTTTTGGGAGATTTTAGTCATCTTATTTATCCTTTACTGACTGCATTTTGAGTTTTATTTGATAGTCTGTTTATACCATTGATTATATTTTAGGTTTTATGCCTAGCTCTTTGACCCATCCTGGTTAGTTTTTTTTTTATAAAATGCAAGATGAGTCTCAAAGCATTTTCTTTTTTTTTTTATCATTATATTTTATTAATTTTCATAAACATTTACAGAGATTTTGGGCTTCCACTCATTCATTGTTGCACTATTCTCTCTACCCTCCTCCCAGTTTGTTCTTGTCCAAATGCCACAGTGCTTGTCAAAGCCAGTTCTGATTAATCTTCTTTGTCAGTGTGTCCTTTGCCATTCCCTATCACTCCTCCCTGAGAGAGACTTCACCCTGAGTCATAAGGGAAAGGGGATGGCGTATTCTCTTAGCTACTTCCTGCTGAAAAGGGACGCTGTGGGTTTCAGGGTGAAGATCTTCTCTCACTACTCTAAAGGGCCCCTTTGGCAGTAGGAAACACATAGACTATTATGGAGATTGATTTTGGAATTTAGATGCACTCTTATTGATTGTGCTTGGCCGTACATGTTCATATCCTTGAAGATGTATCATGGGGGTGTTGCAACCTAGAAGACACAAATTTGACTAACAAGTTATAAGTACATGAGTCCAAAAATTATGGAAAAGTAAAAGAAAAGATTCTTTCATTGTTTTACAAACCCTCCCCCAGGTCTCCTCCACCATGTAGCCCTCGCTCTAGACTCCTGTGATGACAGAAATACCTAGTTATATATCTCTTTTAAACAGTTTTCTCCCTCCTCTGTTTCAGTGCAGTATACATTATTGAACCCATCTTACTCAGTCTCTCCCCAACCCCAAGGACAGTCCCATTCTACAACAGCGGCATCATGTAATATTTGTCCTTTTGTGACTGGGATGTTTCACTCAGCATAATGTTCTCCAGAGTCAACCATTCAAAGCATTTTCTGAAAGCAGAGCAGATACCCAGTTTTGCCAGCACCATTTGTCACAGAGGCCATTGTTAACCCCACTGAATGGATTTCATTTTTGTCAAAGATCCGTTATTGGTGGGTAGATTTCTTTCTGGATTTTAAATTCTGTTCCAGTGGTCTGTGTATCTGACTCTACCACTTCCAAGCTGTTTTATTAATTACTGTGACTATAGTAGATTTTGAAATCAGGGTGTGTTAGGCTACTTTTCTTTCATTGTCTTCTTCACTATTACTATGTTTATTCAGCTTCTCTTTCCTTTCCATACTAAGTTGGTTGTAAATTTTTCCGTCTCTTTAAAAAAAGTGCTGATGGGATCTGGATAGGGATTGCTTTTGGTAGAGATGCCATTTTCACAAGTAAGTCTTCCAATCCATGAGCATAGTATGGTACCCCTCTCCCCCCATTTATTTAGGTCTTTTTGGGTTTTATGTAGTACTGTTTGAGTTCTTGTTACAATATTCAAATTGAACTCCTTGCCTTTGAGTCAGAACTGACTCCTAGCCTCTGGTGGGTTGTTTGATTGGGTTGGGTTTTTTTTTTTAGGCTATAAGTTACGGAGGAGACGATCGCTCATCTTTTCTCTCTTGAGTATAAGGTGGATTTGAATTGTTACAGGTGTGTACCAACTTAAAGTTAGCAATGTGATATTCTACAGTGTCACCAGAGCTCCTTGGCTATTACTAAGTCTTTTCAGAGCAGTTTTTTTGGAGTTGTTATTATTATGGAGGTCATAGAAAGTGAGACAGATCTGAACATGGACAGAATGAACAGTTTTTAACAGAGAATGTTTGTGATTTGGGTCAATATGCAAGATAAGTTGAAGAGGGAACTTACTAGAGGAATAGCCCATGCTGGAGGCTTTGAGGATCTGAATTGACAATAGTAAGATAAATAGAAAGGATTGAGTGGGAAGGAGATGTCAGAGGCAGTAAAATGAGTACAGTTGAGCAAATTAACGTGCACAGAAATGAAAGGTTCACAGTTCCATTAGGTGAACTGCAAAGGAATATAGAACTTACTTTGTTAGGAGTGTGAATGATTACAGTCAGTCAGAAATAAACGTAGTTACTTGAATTCCAGACATTCTTAAAAAAAACTGAAGAGTCATTGGGAGTAATAAGAAGAGGCATGTTTTTAGAGAGGAGGAAAGAGAGACAGTGGAGAATTCCTGGGGACTGAGAAGAAAGAAGAGGGAAGCAGTTATAAAAAAGGAAGCACTTAACTCTTAATCCTTATATGTTAGGTAGGAGTGCTGTTATAATGTTAAAGATGAAGCCACTAATGAATGATTAGTTTATCTCCGGTAACATAGCTAGTACTTTGTAGAGTTGGTACACTAACCAGGAAGTCTGATTCCAGAGTATACTCTCTTAGTGCCTTCTGGCTTAGGTCATCAACAGATAGAATAACCTCCCAATAAGCCAAGGAGAAAGTTTTTTAAAGAAGGTAATACATTTTGATTTGAAATAGCTTTACATAATAATCTTTTCTTGTCTTATCTCAGTGTTAGGAGAATTCATGCACCCCTGTGAAGATGACCTCATTTGTAAATGTGTTACTGAAGAAAACAAAGTGCCTTACTTCAATGCTCCTGTTTATTTGGAAAACAAAGAACAAATTGGAAAAGTGGATGAAATATTTGGACAACTTAGAGATTTTGTATCCTTTTTAATTGGAAGATGTGGTAATCACATTAAAAAGTTACTTTTTGCTCTTTTCCTGAAGTGATTAGTATTGGGAGTAATTAAACTTGCTGTCTTTTTGTTTAATTATTGGAGAGAGTAATTACTATTACAAGTTTTATCATACAGGAGAGCTATGAAGGAAAAGAAATACATCTGTATATTAGAAGAGTGACTTGTTTTGAGGGGAGAAAGTTCTAGCACATTCTAATTAAGTGCCATAGGATTGATATTTTTTTTTTCTTGGATATGATGACACTACTGCAATAGTATGAGAGAATTTTGGTTTTTGCAGTTTCTTTTGGTATTCCAGCAAATTACTTACACTTTCTTTTTTATCTTTCCAAATCTTTCCTTTAATGTCAGGTAATGCTACAACCCAAGCACATAAGAGTAAACATATTACAGAGAAAGGGGCCCATGTGTGTGAATTATTTAGTGGTGTGGAAGGTACAAACTGTCACAGCTCGAAGGAGCAGTTGTGGCGCTCTTTTCCCTCCCCATTTCTCCTTCCTATTGCGCTTAAATGAAAGTCCAGGAAGAGACAAAGTTTTCCATCAGTGGAACTTAAGAGGCCCCAGGGCCTTAGGCGTAGATCTGGTTGTACATTTTTACATTACAGTTTTTATATGTTATACTCTTGTTTTCAGGATTAAATGTTCATGTAGAAGACTTGATACTGTCTTTGATCTTATTGTTTATTCCTTAATACAGTTAATAGTATTTTTCAGTTAAATTGTCAGAAAACATGAAGGCATCGTCCTTTAAAAAGCTACAGAAGGTGAGTCACACTTATGATACTTGTGATCCTTGATTTTAAAAGTGGATGACCAACTTTCTGACAGTACTTGCTGGGGCACTTGAAACCTCCCAGTTTATGTGAGTGATTAGGAAAGCTCTTAAAGATGTTTTATACTTCACATATTTAGGTTTTGAAGAAATCTATTTGATTCAAGATTTTAAAAAAGTATTACTACTCAGGCTGGCAAATTCTGTGAGTCTGGAATGTTTTTTAGGGAGCTCTGGTAGCCAAGTGGTAAGGAGCTGCACCGCTAACGTAAAAGTTCAAATCCATCAGCTGCTTCTCCCATTAGCCTGCCATTGAAAGTGTGCAGGAGGGTTAGCTACGATATGGTTCCAACTTGATGGTATATAACAACAAGAAGAGAGTTTTTATGAAATACTCTTACTTACGAAATACTTGTTTAAAAAAACCTTGGATAGTCAGTTACCATCCAAAAACCTTATTTAAAAAATCTTGAATGGACATTCTAAGTTTGAAGGAGAAACACAGATTCTGTGAGAATGTTTCCACTGGGATCAAACTCAATGTATTTATTAGTTTCCCTGAAGAGATAAAAGTATAAACCAGGAAGTTGACTAGGAGTGATTCTTAAAACTTGTTGTATATTAAAGTTTATTTTTATTTGAATCAAACTCAATGGTCGTGGAGTCATTTCTGGCTCCTTACAGCCTAACTCCATTGGGTTTCCAAGTCCACCCATCTTTTTTCCTTGGTCTATTAAAACTTCAGAGTTCTTGATCTTTAGTTAGCAACACAGCACACTGTAGACTATGCTGAAGGCGTCCCTTCAGGTTTTAAAAACTAGATAAATTAATTTGTCTTTGAGAGAAAACTACTATGGTGGAAATGAACACCCTGACAAGGATATGAACTACTAGAACAGTTCTGGAATAAATGAAGATACTTTGGGCCAGAATTAATAATGTCGGATGAAAAATTAATTACATAAGATGTAGAACTGAACCTGATTTGCCTTTCAATCGATTTTGACTCTGAGAGATCCTGTAAACAGAGCAGAACTGCACTGTGGGAATTCCAAGGTGTATGATGTATTGGGCTAGCTAACGAAAAGCTTGGCGTTTTCGGTATACCAGCCATTTCACGAGAGGAAGAGGACAGTCTCCTTTAAGTATTTACAGCCTTGGAAACACAGTGTAGGTATGCTGTGATTTGGAACTGACTTAGTGGGTTTGATGGGGATTTTTGGTTCATTTTTACGATGAACAATGCTTCATCTTCCTCTTGTAGAGTGGATGGTGAGTTTGAATTGTCAGCCTTTCCGTTAATAGCAAAATCCTTAACCACTTCTCCACTAGGTTACATCAAAAGGGATCTATCAGGATTCAAGGCAGATTCAGAAGAGGATATGGAACAAGAGATAATTTGCCAATGTTAGGTCAATTTTAGTTAAGCGTGGAGAATACCAGAAAGATGTTTACCTTGTTTTACTTACTATGGGCATTCATCATGGTAGATAATAATAACTTATGGGTAACATTATAAAGGTGAGAATGTCAAAGCGCTTAATCATGTACATTTTGAATCCTTATGTAGACCAAAACAAGGAATTTACAGTCAGTAAAAAGTGCATCAGAATTGTATGCTTTCATCATATTTAATCAGTTTATATACTGAGAAAATGATCCAAGAAGCTAGACTCAATGAAGACGGACATGGTATCAGCATTGGAGAAAGACTCATTAATAGTCTTCGGTACACAGATGAGATACACCTTGCTTGTTGAAAGCAAAGAAAACTTTAAGTCCTTACTAGTGAAGATCAAAGACTATAGTTATATAGCCTTTAGTATGGATTACATTTCATTTTAAAACAAAAATCTTTACAATTGGACTAATAGGTGACATTATGACAGATGGAAAAAAGAAGTTGTCAAGAATTTTATTTTACTTGGCTCCATAATCTGTTTATGAAAGCAGTAGCCAGGAATTAAACTGCATTGCAATGGGCAGATATGCTGCAAAGGACCTCTATAAGATGTTGAAGAGCAAGGATATCACTTCAAGGGCCAGAATATGCCAGACCTATACCATGTTATTTTCAGTTGTTTCATATGCACACAAAAGCTGCACAGTAATTAAAAAAATTGATGCCATTGAATGATAGTATTGAATAAGGTATATACTATGTGCTACCAAAAAGCAATTTTTCATTTTAGAAGAAGTGTAATGGAGTTGGTCCTTAGAAGCAAGGATAATAAAGACTTTACCTTTCCTACTTTGGACATAGTATCAGAAGTCAGTCCTAGGAAAAGGGCATCATGCTTGGGAAAGTTGAGGATTACCAGAAAGAGGAAGACCCTTAAAGTGACTGGTACGTGGTTGGAACAGTAGGTTAAAGCATAGTAGCAATTGTGAGACTAGCACGGAAGCAGATACTGTACATTGGCTAGGTATGCGTCAGCTCCATCTCATAGCCATCTGATAAGTCTTTACATTTGGGTTCTTAACGATTACACTTGTGTGTCCCCTGAGTGCTCATGCTAACTGCTGCTGTTACACTTCCAGTTTTATATAGACCCATTTAAGCTGCTGCCACTGCAGAGGTTTTTACCCCGACCTCCCGGTGAGAAAGGAACCCCAAGAGGCGGTGGCAGAGGAGGTCGAGGAGGAAGAGGAGGAGGAAGAGGTGGAGGAGGAGTAAGAGGCGGTGGTAGAGGTGGTAAGTTAACTTGGAAAATGTCTTATGAGATTTCATTCACAGCTAATTCCTCTTATATTTAGGAATAATGAAGATAACATCTGATTTTATATATAGAAAAAAACTTTTTTTTTCTCAGTGAGTAGGTTTATTTTGGGGGTGTCGCCCCTTAGGAAAAAACATTCTTAAATTGATTTCTTCTTAGTAAAGCTACCACACCCTTGGCAGCATTTATTTGCTGTCTTGTTGAACTTTGCTGCTGTTGTTTTTTTGTTTTGATTTATATCTCTCCAACAACAACAGTAAAAACTTATATCTTCTTGATGTCATGTCATAGAATATTACCAATAATTATTTTTTTTTTTTTTGCTTTAGTTTCAGTATGTTGATCCATGTATTTCAAAGCTCTGGCATATTCATTATTTAGAGCATGTAAATAATGGGCTAGGTGGGACTGCAGATTTTGGGTGATGTGATCTATGAATAGCAGGATGGGTAATTGACAAGATGATAAGCAGTGGTAAGGGGGAGGAATTGAAACTTGTACAGCTATGTGCTAATGACTTGATATTGATCCATTATTAACAGAATAAAACTGTCTCATTACTAGACTAAAATATATTTTTTAAAAATTGTGATTTTTAACAAAAGTTTACAAAAAATTTGGATTTTCATTCATTCATTGTTATATATTTTCCTTCCTTCCCCATCCCAGTTCGCTAAAAAAAAAAAAAAAATTCATTCATCCTTAGAGTTTCTTTTCTCCCCCAACTTTACTTTGCCGAGTACCTTTTATTCCAGACTGTTGTTATGCATGTAATGCCTAATCATATATTTCTTTTAAATAGTTTTTTTCTTCATCTGTTCCAATGCAGTGTTCATTATCTATCCCCTCTTTTCTTAGTCTCCCCCGTAAACACCATGTCAATCCTGTTTTATAACAGTGGTGTTATGCAGTATTTATCCTTTTGTGACAGATATTTCACTGAGCCTGATGTCCTCTAGGGTCACTCTTGTTTGTTTCTTGTTTTTCAGTGCTGTGTAGTATTCCATTGTTTGAATATAACATAGTTTTTCTATCTATTCATATGTTGATGGGAACTTTGGTTATTTCTCTTTTAATATTGTGAGCAAAGTAGCAATAAACATAGGTGTACATATATCTGTTTGGGTGGTAGCTCTAATTTCTTTGAGGGTATATTCCTAGTAGTGGAATTGCTAGGTCAATCAGGTGGTATTTCTATATCCAACTTTTTGAGAAAGTGCCATACTGCCTTACATAGTGGTTGCACAATTTTACACTCTCCCCAGCAGGGAAGAAGCATTCCAATCGCTCCACAACCTTGCCAGCATTATTTGCTGCTCTCTTGAACTTTGCTGTTATTACTGGGGTCAGGAGATCTCATAGTTGTTTTGTAGACTGAAATATTTATGGGAGCAGATTGCCTTGTTTTTTTCTCCTGCTGAGCCACTGATGGGCTTAAACAATAAATCTTTTTGATAACAGCTGAGCACTTAACCATTGTATCACCAGGTTCGTTTTGGAGGCTATCTGTTTGAGAATTTGGTCACTAGAGAGCCTCTCATTCCTATTCTATGTTCAGTCTCATACTCTTATTTGTTTTTTTAAAATGTATACATAAGGCCATCAAGGTGGATTGACTCAATGACTTTAACAGTGAGTTCAAGTATATAAAAAATGATGGTGGCACAGGATAGGACATGGTTAAGATTTGTTGTGTGTTGGATTGCTATGCATCATGGTCCAATCAGTGGGCACCTAACAATTCTCTTAAAACCTTATATAAGTATGTCCTTTTTTCCTTTACATTTTCAAAAAAAGTTATTTTAAAAATAGAGACTGAAAAGTAGGAACCTAAATGTGTTGGTGCCTGCAGCAATGGGCGTGAGCATGGTGGAGATTGTGAAGATGTCACAGGATAGGATAGGATTTTGATCTGTTCGTAGAGTCACTGTGAATGGTAGTTGATTTAAGACCATCTAACAATAAGTACAAACTTGGATAAGAAAATGGCTAAAAACCTTAAAAATATGTGACATTAGTGTATCAATTATAATACAGTCAACCTTAAAATATTACTGTATTCCCAGAGCAAAGCTAAAATTTTAATGTGAGAGGCTTTTTTCTAGTTCATAATACAGCTCTTTAATTGATCTCTCCTTTTCAAAATTCTATGAGGTAAAATATGAATTGGTATTTATAATGACTATTCATCTTTGAAAGTTTATGATCTAATGCATGTTTCTGTTTATTTAGGTGGGTTTAGAGGTGGAAGAGGAGGAGGTGGAGGCTTCAGAGGAGGAAGAGGTGGTTTCAGAGGTAAGTGTGGGAAGGGTCTTTTTAGAGTTTTATAGTTTGTGTTATCTACTATTTTCTCTTTGTTACTTGTTTTTCTGTGCCAGTGAGTATGGAATATTAGTTTTGTTTGCTTTAGCCTAATTTATTACTTCATTATATATAATTTTGGTTCTTTCTCCTTTTTAATTATTTTCCAAT